GTGTCTGCAATGGAAGACACTGTCATGCAGATTCGGGTATCACCTGCAAAGGAAGACATGGTGCTGTGGCTGACATCCTTGTCTATATCAGATATGAGGATGAGAAACAAGATGGGAGCGAGTACTGTGCCTTGTGGAACAGAGCTTTTCACCATAGCCGCCTCGGACTTTACTCTGTTGACTACTACTCTGTGTTCTGTTTGTGAGGAAATTATAGATCCATCTACCAACTTTTCCTGTTATTCCTCTAGCACGCATTTTGTGCGCTATTACGCCATGGTCGCACTTGTCGAAGGCTTTTGCAAAGTATGTATATATTACATCTGCATTCTTTTCGTCTTCTAGTGCATCTAGGACCTTGTCGTAGTGATCCAATAGTTGAGAGAGACAGGAGCGACCTGCTCTAAACCCATGTTGCCTTGGGTTGTGTAATTGATGGCTTTCTAGATGGGTGGCAATCTTGCTTCTTAGGACCCTTTCAAAGATTTTTATGATATGGGATGTTAGTGCTATCGGTCTGTAGTTCTTTGCTATTGTTATACTGCCCCCTTTGTGGAGTAGGGCTATGTCTGTTGTTTTTAGTAGCTGTGGGACGACCCCAGTGTCCATGCTCCCTCTCCATAGGATGGTAAAAGCTTGTGATAGGGGCTTCTTGCAGTTCTTGATGAACACTGAGTTTCATGAGACTGGCCCTGGGGCAGAGTGCATGGGCATGTCATTTATCAACTGTTCGAAGTCATTTGGTGTCAAGATAACATCGGATAGGCTTGTGTTAACCAAATTCTGGCTCTCCTCATAAAAAATTCATTTTGATCTTCGACTCGAAGTCTGGTTAGTGGCTCGCAAAAAACCGAGTCATATTGGGACTTAAAGTAGCTAAACTCATTTCCTTGCTGTAAACTTGCGAAGGACCCATCTGTTTAAGTGGGGGCCCAAAAACTGGACTTGTTCTCGACTTAGATTGGCATAGGAGAAGAAAATTTTTGGGTTTCTTTCGATTTAATTTATGGCTTATAGTTCTTCCAAAGATTCCTGACTCCTATAAGATTCCTTTAGCTTAAGTTTGATTTTGTTATTTCTCTGACCAGTTACCCCCATGCATTTCGTCGCCTGTAAAGGGAGCGCCTGTCTCTATTTTACATCTACTACTCCTTTTTCTTAAAGGAATAACCTTGAGCATACATCAAGTGCCACCGAGTTAATCTGTTCTAGGCAAATTTGGGGGGTCTGTGTTGCTTAGGTCAAATCTTCCCAGCTTTTTATGGGTTAGGACTTGGTTTTTATTGGTCCCACTAAGTTCTTATTATTGAAGTTGAATTTGGTGAAGGCTCCCTCATGACTAAACTCATTTTGTCGGTCTGGAGGCTCCGCGCATACATGTCCCGAACCTCGATTATTTTGCGATCTGGTACATTGTTTTGATTGGTGACATTTTATCAGATCAATCATTGTTTGTGAAGACAAAGGGCTAGTGTATTCTTGTCAAGAGGCTCTTATTATTTGCGGTTTAAGCTGAAAATTTTTGTGCAAAATTTAAAAGCCTCGTGTGTGTGTGAATTCTCGTAGAGCTGCCTCCTGGAGTTAAACACTGCAACAACATTTTTGCTATAAATTCCTCCCTTTAGGTGCCTTAAGTTGAAATCCCCAAGGAGCAAGATGTTGGGGACAGGAGCTGGCAGATTTTCTAGACAGTGGTCAACTTTTAACAGCTGTTCCTGGAATTGCTGGGACGTTGCATCCGGAGGCTTGTAGACTACTACAATGACTAGGTTTTGGTTCTCGATCTTTACTGCTAAAACTTCCACTACATCATTTGAGGCATTAAGCAGTTCTGTGCAAACAAGTGATTCTGCGATATACAGGCTAACCCCCCCCCCTTTTGCCTGTTCACTCTGTCGCATCTGTATAGGTTGTAACCTGGGATCCATATTTCGTTGTCCAAGTGCTGCAGGATTTTTTTGATACCGCACACACTGACCACAGACCCATTCTTTCATATATAAGCCTACCAGTTTTCTCTTGCTAGATCTGAAGGTGCTAGAATTTACGCATACTAGTACGGCACCAACCATGGCGTGCAAGCCATACTAGTAAAGGGTTAAGAAAGCTCCTGATACAGTAGATCACAGCATCCTGCTCCTCAAGCTTGATCATTACTGTATAAGAGGTCATGCATTTGCATTTATCAAGTCCTACCTTACTAATAGAAAGCAATATGTCTCTTAAAGATGCAACTTCCTCAACAAGCTCCCTGGACACTAGTGTACCACATGGTAGCATTCTTGGCCCCCTCCTTTTCCTTTTATACATTAACGATCTTCCAAGCACATCACAACAACTTACGCCATGACTTTTGTCATCTCCCACCCAAATCTAGCCTCACTCAACAATACTGTTAACGAAGAACTTGCAAAAATAGCAACCTGGTTGACTGTCAATAAACTTACACTTAATACCGACAAAATCTTTTACATCATGTTTGTGAGCAGAGCAGTGAGGTCCAATTAAACATTATGCTTAAAAACACTCTTATTGCTAGGCATAATTAGGGATAATAACTAGGTCTACCTGGAGTTCATTACTTTGGGGTCCAGTCCCTGGACCCATTATGTACCTTTGTAATCTTTTGACTACTGCCCACAGGATGGGTATGGGGTGCATAATAAAGATATTAAACTAACTAAACTCTGCACCCTGATAGCAACTTGAAATTCAACACCCACATCTAACACAGAAAGTTTCTAAAACAGTTGGCATCCTCTCAGCAATATGTTACTCTGTACCACAAACATCACTACTTACACTATACTATTCACTGATATACCCCTACCTCACCTATGCTATTTGTGCCTGGGGTTGCACAATGACAAATCACCTACAACAAATAATAACCTAACAAAAAACCACAGTGCAAATCATCACACACAATCCACTGCTAGACACACTCCCCCACTCTTCAAAGACAAAACATTCACATGTACTATTGTGCAACCTACATTTAGAGAACAATCAGTTCTAATATAAATCCCGACCTGAAACACTATCTTGACAGTCGCAATAGAACTCGGACACAACAGTAGGCACAAAAATCTCCGACATTCCCAGTGCCAGGGTCAATCTTTTCAAAAACTCATTGTACATAAAAGGGCCCAAAATCTGAAACACACTGCCAGCAAACTCCAGAACCACAGGCTCAGCTAGCATTTTTAAAACTACAGTTAAAAAATACCTTATCTCCTTTACCTATCCCAGTCCATCATAAATACATATGTAAAATCTATACATACATCTGCTCAATATCATGAACATAGGTAAAACTTTATAATCAATATATACTTACTCTCAATATCTCCATTCATCTCAAATATTCGTCACTATTGTGTCCGCCTAAGGTTAATAATCAAAATTGTATGTCTTCTCTACAAGACGTATTAAAGCCATATAGCATGACCTAATTGAATATTCAGTTCTCTTGTATTCATTGTAACTCCTCTAAAGACCATATGTGCTGTTATTGCCTTATTAACCTTAACTTAGTTTAAAATTTGCCCAGAATGCTCTGCATACTAAGGGGCTTTTGGCATGTACATCCAACTATTATATTCCTTTGTACAAACATGTACCATGTCAAAATAAAATATTATTATTACATTCAGGTCAACTTCAGATTTCTTTCATGAAATAGTAATGAACTGCGACCAAAGAATTTTGTTAATATTGCCCATACATTTATTGTGGTCGTCTAGCACATCACAGCCAAACAACAGCTAATACAGTTTTATCATGCACTTGGTCAATCATGGCAAATACAAAGATGTGCCAGTTGCATATCTACCAATAACAGAGTAAGGTTAAATTATGTTAGCTTATTTTACGTTGGATTTCAATATGTTAGGTTAAGCTTCTTACAATTTGGAAAAAATATAAAGTAACAAACCACCTTCATAGCATATACATCAAACTACAATTAATTGTTGAAATTCGACAAACAACAAATCTCAATTACTTGGAAAGTCACTGATTATGTAGTGCAGTAATTACCAGACAATTATTACACTTGACAATGTTAAAATTAGTATCACTACTTATTATTATTATTATTATTATTATTATTATTATTATTATTATTATTATTATCAAAAAAGCGCTAAACCTGCTTACAATAATGAAAACTTTTTTTTTTAAGTTTTCAGCAGGCGGCTACATGGCAAGTGACGTCACACCGCGCGCCCACAAGCTTTTTTTTGTTACAACTGATAAATTAAAGGTTGAAGGTTGACTAAGATGATGCTCACTATGGTAGCTACAAATAAATAATTAAAATGGGCAATTACGCAATGGAGCACACAAACAGTACCATTGTTTTAGAGTAATGAGTCATTTTATTAGTTGTTATACATTGTTACCTGGAGTTTACCTGGACCTCATAACCACTGTATACATAAGTATCTATAAAATATTTATAAACTGGACTGAATACCTTATAAGCAGTTTAAAAGGTAAAAAAAAAAATATTATTGTTGTTGACATTGAGTGAAGTCTGGCGCCGAAGTTTTAAAACTAAAATAAAAGTATTAACTGTTTATAACATTGAAGTTTGAGTGTTTATCTGCGGTAATATACTTTATATCCAGTTAAATGTTATTACACCTATTATTTGTTAAGTATGGTTGAGTGTGTGAGTGTAAACATTACCTACCTGACAGGAAGCAGCAGTTACTAAGTCTACTCTTGTCTTGCCCCTCAAGGAAGGTTCCTTGATGTTGGTGAGGGGCTCTTGATTTAGGGAATTGGATCTATAAACCATACCCCCGGCCGGGATTGAACCCGCGGTCATAGAGTCTCAAAACTCCAGTTCCCCGAATTAAGCCTGAATGCCTTCCACATCCCCCCACCCAGGCGGTGTATAATCCTCCGGGTTTAGCGCTTCCCCTTGATTATAATAATATAATAATAATACTCTTGTCTTGTTTTAAGTCTATCAATCCACTGTAGCTCACCTGACAAGCTTAAGCTTACTTAAGAAAGCTTTAGCTTGGTGTAGGATGGTAATAATATAAGAGTGACCTGGTCTCACCTCCACCACCACTAACATCATCACAGTTGCCACTTATAACTTTTAAAAGTCACTTCAGTTTCTGTCTAATAATAACATATTCATTTTCCCACTATAATCAACTTTGTCTATAATTACTATCGCATTTTATTCGTGTGTTTTCGTAAAGTGAAGTCTATGATCTTTCTTTAATTCATGGTATAACTGAACAAATAATTAAGAATAATTGTGTCACACCTCTATAATATTTAAGAGTTGTTAAGTAATATCATGAATTAAACAAAGTTGATAAACTTTAGTGAAACAGTAACTGTCACAGTAACCACTGCAAATAAAGGACACTAATGTAAGTCACTTCGACTTTTTTTTTTTTTTTTTTTTGGGGGGGGGGGTTATCCTGGGTTCTCTACACATATATATACTCTGTATAGTCCTTGTGGCTTAGCGCTTCTTTTTGATTATAATAATAATAATAATCTACACATATATATGATAATCTATGTGACTGTATTTGTGTGTACCTGAATAAACTTACTTATAGTAATTATGTATAATGTTGATTATAATGGAAGATGAACATGATATTAAGAGACAGAAAAACTCACGTCACTCTGTGTTCAACTCGACCCTAGAAGACGCTAACAAAAAAAAAAATCTATAATTTTCTGCGATAAACCTAAAGGAGTTAAGATTTAGTTACCAATGTTAAAAAACACAATATGAAGCATTGGTCCCACTAAACATTATAATGTTGATGAATGTACAGGTAGTAAATCCGTCACCCATCAACGAGTTAGTTTCATATGTTTATTATGCATCCAATACCCATCCTGTGGGCGGTAGTCAAAAGATTACAGAGGTACATAATTGGTCCAGGGACTGGACTCCAAAGTTTTGATAGCTGAGCAAGTTACAAAGGTAATGAACTAGATCTGGTCATAATCATGACCAAGTTACAAAGGTAATGAGCTCCAGGTAGAGCTAGTCACACTCATGAATAATTGCAAAGGTAATGAATCATAAACACATTAATCATGAGAATTTACAAAGGTAATGAGCTCCAGGTAGAGCTGGTCACATTCATGACAAGTTTCAAAGGTAATGAGCAACTTAATGTTTTAAATGTTCATTATTGACATGGTTGTATCACTACTGACACGGTTGTGTCACTATTCAATTCAATTCAAGTTTATTCTCTATAAGGGTTACAATGTGGGGATTACAGGTTTTGGGTATTGTGTGGTTTACATGTTATAGAATACTAATTACAGAGGAGGCCTCAGTCAAATTATGTTCCAAATAGGGAAATCAGATCAAACAAAAATTATCATAAATGGATGAACAATAGATTAAAATATCTGATTGGTCAAAAGAGAGGCATATATAGGCAAATCAAAAGAGGAGAGGGGCAATTAAGAAATCGATATATTCAGTTAAAGAGAGAAATAAAAAAGGGAATTAGAAAAGCAAAAAGAGATTATGAGGTTAAAGTTGCAAGAGAATCGAAGACTAACCCAAAAGGATTCTTTCAGGTATACAGAAGTAAGATCAGGGACAAGATAGGCCCACTCAAAAGTTCCTCGGGTCAGCTCACTGACAGATTTAGATTTTAGATTTTGCCACCGAAGTGGCTAGTTTATTGTGCACCCCATATCCATCCTGTGGACGGTAGCGCGAGAGCATATGGATACACAAAAGGCCTAGGAACTAGGCCCCAAAGGGTTAACAGGAATACATATGGATTTATATCTACATATCTATAGTTCACTTATCTGTTACAAGCAAATTTAGGAAATTTGCTTAGTATATCTGGTATCTTATTTTCATTAATAAGATATCTTGACATGTCACATAGGTTATTATACTGTCTGTCTCTGTAAATCCTCAATGGGGGACAATTAAGCACATAGTGTTCAAGAGAGTGACCATATGCCTGATCACATAATTTACATTAGTTTGATCAACATCTGTGTGTCTCCCCAAAATGCCAGAAGTACTTGTAACCAACCCAAGCCTGGCACTACAACATCAGTCAGTCTGTTCACATTGCAAGTTGCTCCATAAACTATTATC